AGGATGGCGAAACTTCACTTCACAAACTTTGGGCCTGTTGTCAGGAGGGGCCAGTGTGTGGATCATGCTGGGAAAAACAGAAAGTTAGAGAAAGAGAGGAAGATGCTAAAAAAGGTGGGTTAACATTGTTGTTAAGTGCCATTGAGTTGTAGACGACTCATAGCGACCCTATGAATGAAAGACTTGAATACTTGTGTAACTTTCATCGTTTCTTCACATTAATAGAGTTTCCAGAAGCAAGTCATTTAGGAAGTGGATGCCACTCCTGCTTCCAAGCTTGTTTTAATCGGGGAGCTCCACAAAACACTGTCCACCATAGGTAACCATTATCATATTCGACACATCAGTGTCACAGTGTTCAGCATCACAGCAACCACGAATTACTTCTGCACAGTAAATGGACAGATCACTGCTATACCACTTAGAAGAATGTTTGACAAACATTCCTGCAGATGACTTCCAAACTGGCTTCGAGCCCTGAACTGCCAACCAAATGGGTTTTTTAATGGGAGGCCAAATCACATCATCTCTGTCCCATTAGCTAGTCAACATTCCATCCTAATCCTCACCAGTACCAGCAAACAAGTCTATAGAATCCGGCTCCTGCAGACAACTTCCAAACGTAATGACCATAAAAATGGGCTCTAGTATATCAGTGTTCATGAGGATAGCACAGCAGATCTGCTGTTCCTAGGGTTGCGATGAGTGGCAATTCACTCAATGGCACCTAATGAAAACAACAACACAAAGCTGGGTGGAGAAGAGTTTTTTTGTAGTTTCTGTTCTAACAGAGACTTGTCACTTAAGAGTTTCAAAAAAAGTCAGTATTCTCAAACATAGAAATTAAAACTATAGAAGACTGGTTCCTTATCAAAAAAGGAAAAGAAACAGTTGGTTTATATAATTATACTACCATAATTAGCAACAAGAAAAAAACATTACTGCTGTCTTTTTTATTCTGGATCACCCATCATCTCTTATGAAGGTATTAAGTAATCTAAGAATATTTTTAAAGAAAAATTTAGAATCCTAAGGTTTCTGCCATGCTTGGAAAGGTAGAAGAGAAATACCTTCAACGAGATAGACTAACACAGTGACGACAACAATGGACAGCAGAGATTGTGAGGACGGCGCAGGTTCAGGCAAGGTTTAGATCACTGTCCATAAGGCCTCTATGAGTCAAAGTCGGTGCAGTGGCACCTAACAACAGCAATGACAACAACAACAGGATTTCTGCACTGTTATTTTATATGTAGACATTCAAGCCATGATGTCCACATTGTTTCAAGTGTAAGTTAATATCTTAAACAATGTTTTAGTCAAGACAAGGGCATTAAGCATCAAAAAGCCACTTTGGTTATTGTCTAAACTTCTGCCATTAAGGATCATTTAGTTCATTCCTTCTTAAAAGAACGAAAAGAAAACTGTACAGAAACAAAAATCCAATTACTTCTTTGTGAAGAGATGCCTTTTATATCTACAATTTAGTAAAATCCATTATTAGTAAAATACATAAAATTTTATGTAACCGGTAGCCTTTTATTCATGTAAAATTTAATTTTATTATGAAATGACATCCCCCTTCCCACTCATCTTAATTTTACTGAGGCATGATTAACAGTAAACAGAAGTTATCCTTACTCATAATCCTGATTGAGTGCAATTCTCAAATTGGGGATAATACAAATGGATAATCCGGTACTTGTTTTCCTATTTCTGTTTCTTCACATGACAATCACTTTTGTTACTAAGAATCAGCTGAAAAATTAAGACTGATCTGGGAAAGTGATACTTTCCCATGACAAAAGTGATAAAGTATTTTCTTATTGAATATGTCTACCACATTTTCTGAGCTGAATATTAAGGGTTAATAGGAAATACTGACAATACTTGACCAAATCTGAGTTAAAGGCCAAATAGTGATGGTCTTAATTTCAGACAGAACATAACAGAAGTTTACAGTACATTGTCTTAACAGTAACAGTATATTCTAGAGTACTCTACAAGGTAACTCTAGAGAGGTTCCCATTTAGGAATACATATATTTCAATAAAAATATAGATACATAACTTGACACATACAACACACATATTTGCACCTTAAACAACAACAACATGTTTAGTTACATCTATCTAAACAATGCAAAGGACATATGTATGAGTTGTTACTATTAAAGTAATACCAAACTGTAATTACAAAAACACACTGGTTATATTGCAGTCATATGCTGAACAGCATTAGCATGTATATGGATCCTTAGACCATATGTATTTCATATAGTACCCAACAATATTTTCTGTTAGTAGAAACCTGCCATTCCACTTTTAATAAATGCTTCCATCATCTGGTTGGAGCCTGTATAAATGCATGAGCCTGAAGAAGATAGCTTTGTCCCATCAACCTCAGCACATATCTCAGGATATACGTGTCATGCTAACTACGACCTAGTGGCAAAAAGCTGCACTGAAATTCCCCAAGGCATGCTGTTCAAATCCACCAGTTGCTCCATGGGAGAAGGACGGGCAGTCTCCTTCTGTGCAATTAACTGCCTCTGAAAACCTACCAGAGTCAGTTATGGGCCTGTTCCAACTCAATAGTACACAACAACAACAACAATAGTTTCAAAGGGAGCCCTGGTGGCTTAGTCCATAAGGTTTTGTAGAAACACATGGTTTTTACAAAATAGTAAAAGCCAAAATGAATTGCCTTGAAAGGACTAAGTGAAGATATTGTGGAACAATCAAAATTTTATTTTGGGTTAATTACAGTTTCCTAACCTGCTATTTCAGACCAGACAGTTCTTTGTTGTGAGGTGAAGGCTAGAGCAATACAGGAGGTTTAGCAGGATCTCAGGCCTCCACCTACTCGATGACTGTAGCATCGTGAGAGTGGACAATCAAAAACGTCTCCAGACTTTGCCCACTGTCCCTGGGTTAGGGAAGAAGCCCAGACCACTTCCACTGGAGATGTATTTGTCTAATCAAACATTACTTCTAATCATTTTGGTTTTGCATTTCAGAAAGCACACAGAACAGTTTTGTACAATATATAGATTAAGAGTGCAAAATCAATTATATAACTTTACCTTAGGAATCATGACAAAATGTAAAAATCCCAGACTGCATTTTCTAGAGAACTGTGACACATGAGTGTTTATGAACCTCATCAGTTACAATTTTGACAAATATAGTCTTAATGTGAATGATGGAGCTTACTGAATTTTCCATATGATTTTCTTTTCAGTCCTCTAATATTTCTGAAAAGGTACAGAGAAAATAAGGTAGCCTTTGCTTTAAGTGACTATTAAACAATAACTCAGAAGAATAAATATGTTCAGGATTGCACAGACCTTGCACGTTTGACACAGCTGTTCACATTACCTTCTCATAGCATTTTTGCTGCTATAGAGAATCAAAATAGAGAACAATTCTGCACAGAAACAATACTTAATTTCTTGACTTTCTATGTTGCAGCATAATCTGTGTTATGCCTAAATAATATTTTAATTAATAACTGTGATAGTATTCTAATTATTTGGTGACACTAAGAATTGTCTGTCAATGATGTCATATTTTTCCAAGGAGCATCTTAAAAAAAATTCCCAAACCCTTAATAGTTTGCAAGTTAAACCACCAAAGCATGTCACTTGTTTTAACTTCATGGTATACAAAGCTCAGGTGGTATAGTACATAGCATATTGTACTGCTAACCAAAAGGTCACCAGCTGCCCCATAGGAGAAAGATGAGCAGTCTCTTCCCATTACACACTACAGCCTCAGACACCCAATAAAAACTGAAGTAGAACTTTTTTGATGTAGTTTATCCACACTCTAAAGATGTTTAGAAGAATAAATGTAATGAATTCTAATGTATGTTTTTTAGATTAAGGTGTTTAAAGCACAAAAATAAGATTTCCATTACCTTTCTCTTATATACATACACATTCACTTGCTTATAAGCTGTCATTAGCAGTTTCTCACCATGTGTCAGATCTAGCATTACCAGTTTTCTGTTTCCAGAGAAGAAATAATTCACTACTGTAGACATCCCTTAATTTAGCTAAATCCTGCTTTGCATGAAAATATTCAACACAGGGTCCATTCATGCTGTGTTTGGGAAGCCAGGAATAGTAAAACAAGAATATTATTTCTGGAGTAAAACTTGCATTTCATGATGGTGCGGGCATTCATTTTATGCAACAACCAGGAAACTGGCTGATCTTGGAACAATATGCAGTGGATAATACAAAATAGATTTGTGGCTCTGTAGCACTGGTCATAGACTTTTGCCGTACCAGGCCACATGAATGAAGTGTTTGTAGTCCCACAGAAGGGAGTTTTGTTTAACTCTGTGTACATGCATATGTTCTCATTCTGACAATGCTATGATAGACAGAAAAAGGGATGAGTCTTATATCCTGTTTCCCACCAAGACTAAACCTTACTTCACTGTGCTTCATTTACCTCATCTCTAACATTCAATTATGAGACAATCATCACAAGGTTGAAATAATGCACTTATTTTGTAGTCTTTTTTGCACTAAACTAATAGTAAGAATGCTAACAAACTAACATAATTCGGATCTAAAATCTGAGCTTATGCTCCAAATTCTGAGGAGACTCATTACCCAGACTAACAGAATCAACACAATCTAAAATCAACAAGGTTTCTCACTTTCTAAGTAGACTTGACAAAAGGAGAGGAAGCAATTCTTACTTCATATTTTGAAAAAGAGGGCAACTATAATTAACATAGACTTGGTACAACAAATCAGCTGTAGCATTTTATATCCTCATTACTCAGTAAAGGATTTTGTTTTTAAATTTACCCCAGTACCTACCCACTGCCCCTAAATAGGGCAAAAATAAATGATAATATAAAAAACTTCCTTCTATGATTTTAAACCTAATAAGGTAGGTTGGTTTGCTGTTGGTTTTTGTTGTTGTTGTTGTTTTATTTAAGCCAGTAACATTTTCCCTGGCATTCTCTTTATTCAACTCTGATTAGTTCTTCAGCCTTGGTAAATAGAGGTCCATCTTGTTTTTACACCATATCTTCTAGTTTTGAACCATGTAAACAACAGCATTTCAATAGTATTTTACCAGCTGAAAATCCACAATGTGCTATAGAAAAAATGTCATAAGACATTTCTATTTTAATCCTCAAAGCCAACATCAAAAGTAGAGGTTTCCTTTCTGCTTTTTAATTCATGCAAATCCATGAAACAACTTGACCATTTTCTTCTAGAGTCACATAGAAAACCTAAGAAAAATACCCTGGCTCAGTTCTTTCTTCTTCCGTAGTCCCTAGGATGTGGGCTGATGCAAGCTGCTGTCACATGGGTCTAGCTGCATTCTCAGTGCACCGATCTTATGAAGATACCAGAGTTGGAGAAACTCCTCAGGCATAGCATGGAAGCCAGAAAAGGGTAAGACGTTGTCATAATAGTGATGGCTGATGGGCTGCTCATGCATATTTACAGAGAAGGGCCAGAAGCCATAGATGGCCACCTCTTCACAGAGGCCCAGGGCTGCACTCACCAGAAAGAGTCCTGTGGACAGGCGCTTAGCATGAATTCCCCTACTTTTCCAGAATTTTCCGATGTTACGCAGGAAGTTGGGGTTAGCAAAAAGCACTGTTTGATTTGCACCGACATCTGACAGTGTATAATAAACACGGAGCGATGGCTCTGTCCCTGTCTTCATAGAAAACGCAGGCATATAGATGTAACTGTGGTTATAGATTTTCATGTTGTCCACAAATGTCTTTCTGGACCAAAGAAGGTTTTGAAACCTAAGAAAGAGAAAAAGTTCAATTAAATCTGGAGAAACCAACTCTCCTGTTCTTCTGATGGCTCTAAAGGTGCAAATTATATCAGTAGAAACACGTAAAATAAGTTTGTATTTAAAATCTACTTGAATTCACCAATGGCTTATTATCAAATAGCCTGTTTCTGCTCACTCTAGATCAGTGCAGTGAACTGGGATGTTGGAGAAGAATATTGACTATACCATGGACTGTCAGAAACATGGACAAACCTATCTTGGAAAAAGCACATCTAGAATGCTGCTTACATGCAGAGATGGTGAAACTTCAGCTCATATACTTTGGTTCTCAGACAGAACTAGCACCCAAAGGTGGATATTATGTTTGGTGGATTATATGGGATCAGCAAAATAGAAGATCTTCAATGAGATGGACTGACATAGTGGGTACAACAATGGGATCAAATACAGCAATAACTGTGAGGATGACACAGGACCAGACGGGTTTTGCTTTTGGTGTACACGGGATCACTATGACTGGCAACTGACTTGATGACACCTGACAACAATAACTGTTTTAAACTCAGGTAAACTTTCTTTAAAGGTGTCTTGTCTGAACTAAAATTATTTGTGCAGTCATTTTCTCTCTTACTAGAATATATTTCTCTAGAATAGAAAATGGTTTAATCACACAAAGGCTGCTGAGTAGAATTCTGATAAAAGCTACCTGTGTGATCTACCATAAACACAGGGATGACTTCCTCATCTGCAAATCATGAGAAGTATTTTAAAGACACATCTTCTGCTCAAATTCTGTGATTCTACACATATTCAGACCAATCAATGCTCTAACAGTGATTTGCATTTCAGGAAATAAACATTTGTTACTATTATAAAATTATATTGTGAATGAATTGTCCACAAAGCTTAATAAAATGATTGTACCATTTTGGTCCATTAGAGTTTAACTAAAGTGTCTAGTACAATCTTTTTTGTGCAGGAACTCAGAATTAAAACTTAGTGTGCCCATTTTTTTTTTACTTCAGAAAAGCAAAATCCAATGAGGAAACAAAAATATAGCTGTATGTAATGTTATAACAGTATAACATTAAAAGGACAAAGGCTGATGTTTGTATAAAGCACTAAGAAATATTACTTCTGCTCTGGAAGGGAGAGCGTATATAGATAACTTCATACAGCACTGGGGAAACTTTGAATTCTTCTCAGCACATAAAGTATTGACAGCCAGGTATAGAGTGCTCAAAGAGAATAATTAAACTGACCTAAAAGAAGAGACCTATAGGTGGCTCCTTTGGGGAGCTGCCCAAGAGAAAGCCAATGTGCCAATTGTTTGGATTATAATGAAACTCACTCATGGCCTGTCTGATTCAATCCTGCACTTAGCTTCCAGATATTGAGCAAGAGCAGGTAGCCAAGATAACTGACACTGAAAGAAAGCCTCCAGCACTGGAGTAAGAGAAGAAAACTGAAAAACAAAGAAGCTCAGAAGAAAATAAGACTACTCAAGAGTCAGAAGAAAACCACTTACAATCTATGATACTTTAGAAGTAATAGAAAAACATAAATAAAGAATAAAGTTAATTAGTGATTACCTGAGTTTGATAGAGGTTATTGCTTATAATAACATATGGTTTATGATGATGAAAAAAAATCACATTGATTAGGGTAAAGGGATGCATAGTTGATGAGGGTAACTGATGTCAATAAGTAGTACAACTATAAAAAAGTTGAATTGGCAAATGGCTAATAGGAAAGGCTACATTTTTGCAACAACAAAATGAGCAGCTGGTGAGGCCTATAAGGTGTTTTTGGGCTCAGTGAGTAAGAAGTTGCATTGCTAAGTCAAAGGCAGGTGGTTTGTATCCACCAGCTGTTCCTTGGGAGAAAGATGGGCAATCTCCTCGTGTCTGATTTACAGTCTTTGAAAATCCACTAGCTGGTCAGCTATGAGTTGGTTCTGACTCAACCGCAATGTGTTGAGGTGTTATTTCCTACTGAGGCCTGTGTACAACCAAAATACATCCTTGCCTCCAAGAAGATCCCTGGTTGTTCCTTCTCCAAAGGTTGAGGGTCAGCAAAAGAGAGGAAGACCCTCAATGAAGAATTGACACAGTGACTGTAACAATGGGCTCATGTATATTAGAGATGATGAGGATGGCACAAATTAGGGCAAGATTCAGATCTGTTACTGATGGGGCCCTATGAGTCATCATCAGCTCAACCATACCTAACAACAACATGTACAACCAAACACATCACAGGATTTTGGTTTCTTGGTTTGGAAGTTTAGGATCAGGTTTCATGGAGTATCATTGGTCTAATACTTAGTATGGCTGGTCTGCCTTTTTGTTTGTGGTGGTGTGCTTGGGGACTTAAAAAGGTTGCAAGCAGTCATCTGGAGCAAATATCAGGATCAAGAGGGAGAAACAAGTGTTTCTCCCATAAGCTTTCTCCCATAAACAACAATCTCCTTTGCCATGAGAGAATAATTTCATAGTGTCTAACTACCATTACGGAAGAGTTTAATCACAATTCTATAAAATATATCTAATCAAAAGGAAAAAATGTAGAAAGAAATTTCAAATTTTCATGGAATCCAGACTTACTAGCGTCATTAAGCCTGGGTGACACCCTGAAACTATTATCCAAAGATAATCTTTAAACATGAAACCAACATCTCAGGATTTAAATCAATTCTTAAGCTTAATTAACTAATTAAGCTTAAATAATGACTGTCTTGTATGTATGTAGACTCAAAATGACCAAAGAAACATGAAAGATTTTTCAGGAAACCTAAGAAGCAGTAAACTCATGTTAATAGGAAAGGAACAACTCAGAAAATGAAGGAAAAAAGTGATAATGAAATTTGAAGAATGTACTCACGGTCTTTGAATTTCACATATGGAAACTGTTGGATTGGTCTAGGTTCTATGTATATTCTCAGTAAAAGCAGAAAATGAACTCTTTAAATCTGTAATTGTTCATAAATCAGAACAGTTATTGCATCAATACAATAAGACTTTGTTGTTGTTATGTGCCATCAAGTCTAATACAACTCAAAATGATCTGATGAGTAACAGATTTGAACTCTGTTCTATTCTGTGCCATCCTCACCATCTCCCACACATTTGAGCCCATTGCTGCAGTCTCTGTGTCAATCCATCTCATTGAGGGTCTTCATCTCCTTCACTAACCCTCTACATTTCCAAGAATGATGTCACCCTCCAAGGAACAGCCCCTCCTAACAACATGCCCAAATTATGTGAGATAAAATATCTCCATGCTTGCCTCCAAGAAACACTTTGGTTGCACTTGCTCCAAAGAACATTAATAAGAAATTTGTTTTTGTTAGGTGTCATTGAGTCAAATATGACTCATAGCAACCCTATGAACAGTGGACTGGAACCCTGTCTTATCCTGTCCTACCTCCACCAACTCTGATGCACTTGGGCCCATTGCTATGCCAATTCATCTCACTGAAACTCTTCTCTTTTGCAAGCATGTTGTTCCTTTCAAGGTATAGCCTCTCCTAGAAAAATGTCCAAAGTATGTGAGACATAGCACCCTGGCTTCACTTTCCCCAAAACATATCCATTTGTTCTTTTGGCAATTTATGGGATATTCAGTACTCTTTTCCAACACCACAGCTCAAAGGCATCAATTGTTCTTCTGTCATCCGTATTCATTGTCAAGCTCTCAGACACATAAAAAGTGATTGAAAAGATGTTGGCTATTTAAAAATACACCAGATGTAATATGGTAACAGAAAACTTCAGCAAAAAGCCCCAGAGTAAAATCAAGAAAGTCATCAATCAGCTCCCCAAATAGAAAGAGAAAGTAGCAGCAGTAGTAATAGATTAATATGTCTGGCAGTAATGAGACAATATTTGCAACACTAATGGGAGAGATAATTTAGTAGCTGCTACAGAAATGGCTTGGTATTTTCAATTATTTCATATGCTTTTGAAAACTGGACAATGAATCAGAATGACAGAAAAACTGATGCCTTTGAGTTTAGCAGTGGAGAAGAGGACTGACTGTCCCTTGAAGTTGCAAAAGAATAAGCAAATTTATTTTGAAAACAGTGAAGCCAGCGTGCTCCTTCGGAGCGAGGTTGGTGAAACTTCATTTTACACATTTTGGGAATATTGTCCTTGGACAAGCACATCAAGTACATTGGAAAGGGGAGGGTCAATTGAAAAAGAAGAAAAGCCTCAACATGACAGAATGACACAGTGGCTGTAACAATGGGCTCGAGTATATCAGGGATGGGGAAGATGGGTTTCGTTTTGCTCTTTACAGGGAGGGTCACTTAAATTCATTTTCAACTCACTGGCACCTAAGAACATCAAAGAATCTGAATTGTGTTATTGGCAAAGTGCCCACGGACTGACAAAAGAAAGCTAATCAGTCTTGAAAGAAGTACAGTAAGAGAGTTCTTCAGAGACAAGTATTGTGAAACTCTGTCTCACGTACTTTGAGTACGTTATCAGGAGGGACTAGTTCTTGAAAAAGGACAACACGTTTGAAAAAGCAAGGGGTCACTGAAGGAGAGGAAGATCCTCAACAAGTTTCACTGACACACTGTCTACAACAACTAGTGTAAGCACAGTGGAGATTACCAGGAGGACAGCAGATCTGTCACAGCGTTGATCTGTGGTACACAACATCGCTATGCATTGTGGTCTATTTGATGGTACAAAAGAAACATAGCACTGCCCAATAATTTTATTAAGAGTTGGACAGGACACAAAAATACTTGTAATTTGCATTCTGCCTCAGTCAGGAACAATGCTTACATATATTGTTGTTGTTAGGTGCCATCGAATCAAGTATGACTCATAGCAACCCTATGAACAAAAGATCTGAAACCAGTCCTGTCCCCTGCACCACCCTCACACTTCTGACACACAAGATCCCAATGCATATATACTGAGTCAAATAGTGAGCTGAGATATATCTGGATTGAGAAGTAAGAAGCATACTGGGGGAAGAAAGGAGAATCTG